CAAACAAACAAGAAGAACAAAATGAATAAATATATTAGGAGTCAGCAAGGTTTTTTTCCCAAAAGGACCAGATAGTAAATATTTTAGGCTTTGCAGACCACATGGCCTCCTGCAAGCACTCGACTCTGCCCTTCTGGCTGGAAAGCAGTCCTAGATGGTGTATGAATCAATGGGCATCTCTGGATACCAATAACACTTGGCTTATGGACACAAATGGAATGTCGTATAATTTCATGTGCCACAAAATATCATTCATTTGATTGCTTTACAGCCATTTGAAAATGTAAAAGTTCTATGGCCTCTGTAACAAGTTACTACAAGCTTAGTGGCACAAAACAACACAAATCTGACCAGGAATCGTGGCTCATGCCTGTAATCTCAGCACTTTGGGAGGCTGATGCAGGAGGATCACTTGAGGCCAGGAGTTCTCAAGATGGAATGGAGAGATTCCATCTCTATAAATATTTGTGTGTGTATGTGTGTGTGTGTGTGTGTGTGTGTGTGTAATTTTAAAAAACAACACAAATTTATTCTCTGGAGGTCAGAAGTCCGGACGGGTTATGTTTGGCTAAATTCAGGGTGTAAGCAGGGTTGCATTTCTCCTAAAGTTCCAGGGGAGAATCTGTTTCCTTCCCTTTTCCAACTCGTAGATGCCACTCACATTCCTTGGCTTGTGGCCCCTTCCTCCATCTTCAAAGTGCACTTCTCAGTCTCTGTTTCTGCCATCCCATCTCTCTCACCCTTTCATCTCCCTCTCTTGGGCCCACCCAGATAATCCAAAATAATCTCCCCATCTCAAAATCCTTAACGTAATCACATCTGCAGAGTCCCTTTTGCCACGTAAGGTAACTATTGACAGGTTCTGGGGATGGGACATGAACATCATTGGAGGGGGGCATTGTTCTGTCTACCACACCATTCTTGGTTTGTGAGCCACGCAACAGGCAGTAGTTATCATAGGCCCCAGGAATTCCATTCCTAGGTAAATATCCAACAGAATGAAAACAGAGACTCAAACAGATCATGGTACACCCACGTCCATAGCAGCATTATTCACACCAGCCAAAACATGGAAGTAACCTAGTGTCTATCAATGGATGAATGGATAAACTAAATGTGGTCTGTCCCTACAGTGGAATATTATTCAGCCATAAGATGGAATGAAGCACTGACACCTGCTATAGCATTACATTTATTGCATACTTTATTTCTATTATTACATTGTAATGTATAATGAAATAACTATGCAACTCACCATAATGTAGACTCAATGGGAGCCCTGAGCTTGTTTTCCTTCAACTAGACAGTCCCATCTGGGGGTGATGGGAGATAGTGACAGATCATCAGGCATTAGATTCTCATAAGAAGCACTCAACCTAGATCCCTCACATCCATGGTTCATTCACAGTAAGGTTTGCACTCCTATAAAAATCTAATGCCACTGCTGATCTGGCAGGAGGCAGAGCTCAGGCGGTAATGCTAGCCATGGGGAGTGGCTGCAGATACAGATGAAGCCTTGCTGGCTGGCTCACTTGTTCACCAACCAAGAGTTCAAGACCAGCTGGGAGTGGTGGCTCATGCCTCTAATCCCAGCACTTTGGGAGGCCGAGGCAGGCAGATCACATGAGGTCAGGAGTTCAAGATCAGCCTGGCCAATATGGTGAAACCCCATGTTTACAAAACTACAAAAATTAACCAGGTGTGGTGGCCTGTGCCTGTAATCTCAGCTACTCAGGAGGCTGAGGAGGGAGAATCGCTTGAATCTGGGAGGCGAAGGTCGCAGTGAGCTGAAATCGCACCATTGCACTCCAGCCTGGGCAACAGAGCAAGAAAAAAAAAAAAAAGAAAAAAAAAAGAGTTCAAGACCATCCTGGGCAACATGGTAAGACCCCATCTCTGCAAAAACAAATAAATAAATAATTGGTTAAACAGTAAGTTTTTGTTATATATATTTTACCACAATAGAAAAAGGTGTTATATAAAAGCAGTGGGCTGGGCCAGGCACAGTGGCTCATGCCTGTCATCCTAGCACTTTGGAAGGCTTGAGGAAGTCAGATCACCTGAGGTCAGGAGTTCGAGACCAGCCTGGCCAACATGGTGAAACCCTGTCTGTACTAAAAATACAAAAATTAGTTGGGCGTGGTGGTGGGCGCCTGTAATCCCAGCTACTCAGGAGGCTGAGGCAGGAGAATGGCTTGAACCTGGGAGGCAGAAGTTGTGGTGAGCCGAGATCACGCCATTGCACTCCAGCCTGGGTGACAACAGCGAAACTCCGTCTCAAAAAAAAAAAAAAAAAAAAAAAAAAAAAATGCAGTGGGCTGGATGTGACCAGTGGGCCATAGTTGGCTGACCCCATTGATCCTGCTAACTCCTGCAGCTGTGACCCAGTTCATCTCACACTGCCTGCTCTTCCCCTTTCCCTACCTGAAAGAAACAGCCAAATATGGCTAGGAAGAGGAAATCCCACAACCTTGCTAATTGTTGTTTTTTTTTTTCCTCCAGTCAGTAACAGTTGTATTAGGGATATTGTCAAAGTCAAAGTCACCTGCTAGGTGGTGGGTTTTTGGATTTTTTTTTTTTTTTTTTCGGACTGGTTTTGTGTGAGAGGTTCTCACTCTGTCGCTCAGGCTGGAAAGCATTGGTGCACGGCTTATTGCAGCCTCCTGGGCTCAAGCGATCCTCATGCCTCAGCCTCCCAAAGCACTGGGATTATAGGCGTGAGCCACTGCACCAGGTCCTTTTTTTGAGACAGAGCTTTGCTTTTGTTGCCCAGGGTGGAATACAATGGCACAATCTCGGCTCACCGCAACCTCTGCCTCCCGGGTTCGAGTCTTCTGCCTCAGCCTCCCGAGTAGCTGGGATTACAGGTGTCCGCCACCATGCCCAGCTAATTTTGTATTTTTAGTAGAGACGGGGTTTTCTTCATGTTGGTCAGCCTGGCCTCCAACTCCTGACCTCAGGTGATCGGCCCGCCTCGGCCTCCCAAAGTGCTGGGGTTACAGACGTGAGCCACTGTGCCTGGCCTGTTACTGCTCTTATTTTTAAGTGCCTGATCCATACCCTCAAGTGGGTCTAGGGGCTGCTGTGACCGCATCCTGTTGCCCTGACCCTTTCTTCATACCCTTCCTTCTACTCTCCCCTCAAGCCCTCTCGCGCCTCCTCCTTGCTTGTAGTCTCACTTCCCATTTCTCTGAGGGAAATGGAAGCAATTAGAAGAGACCTGCCACAGGCTGCCATGCCCACCGCTGCCTCCCTCTCTGTGCCAGGGATCTGCCACCGGCCAGTGTCTCTGGATGAGCGTCCATGCTGTTCATGCACAGAAGACCCTTCTACTTGCACGACTCAGAGACGTCACTCCAGAAACTGTCCCCTCTCCTTTGTCTTCAGTGCACGCCCTCTTTTGGATCATACCCATTACCGAGAACAAGCTGTTACTATTCTTTCAAATCAGCCAACTAGATCCCCTTAGCTCTGCTCTCTTTTTTTGGTTTTGAGACAAAGTCTCTGTCTGTCACCCAGGCTGGAGTGCAACGGCATGATCTCCACTCACTGCAACCTCCACCTCCCAGGTTCAAGCCATTCTCCTGCCTCAGCCTCCTTTGTAGCCGGGACTACAGGCATGTGCCACCACGCCTGGCCCAGCTCTGGTCTCTAACAGCAAAACTCCTTGAAATGGGTGCTCACACTCACTCTCTCCTTCCCTCCTGCTCACTCCGTCACACCCCCATGACTGCATGGGGGCAGTGACTCACTTCTGTAATCCTAGCACTTTGGGAGGCCAAGGCAAGAGGCAGGAGGATGGCTTGAGCCCAGGAGTTCCAGATCAGCCTGGGCAACATAGCAAGACCTCGTCTTTACAAATAATTAAAAGATTAGCCAGGTGTGGTGATGCACATCTGTGGTCCCAGCTACTACTCTGGAGGCTGAGGTGGGAGGATCACTTGAGTCTAAGAGGTTGACGCTGCAGTGAGCCAAGAGTGCACCACTGCACTCCAGCCTAGACAGCAGACTGAGACCTTGTCTCAAAAATAAAACACACATGGCCGGGCATGGTGGCTCATGCCTGTAATCCCAGCACTTTGGGAGGTCAAAGCAAGTGGATCATGAGGTCAGGAGTTCAAAACCAGTCTGGCCAAGATGGTAAAACCCCATCTCTGCTAAAACTACAAAAATTAGCCAGGCACAATGGCAGGCACCTGTAATCCCAGCTACTCAGGAGACTGAGGCAGGAGAATCGCTTGAACCTGGGCAACAGAGGTTGCAGTGAGCCGAGATCTCACCATTGCACTCCAGCCTGGGCAACAGTGAGACTCTGTCTCAAAAATAAATAAATAAATAAATAAATAAATAAATAAATAAATAAATAAAACACAAACCCTTCTCTTTTCAAAATCATGAGGACCTCCAGGATGCTACATCCGGGTCTCCGTTTTCTGTCTTCACTGCATCTGACCTTCTTGAAAATTTTTTTTTGCTTTGTGTCTAGGACATGCCCACGGCACAGCCGTCAGACCTGTCTCTGTCTACACACACTCCCTGCTCTTCAGACAACAGACTTCCAGAAAGCACTAGCAGCCATGAAGTGTGGTACAGAATCCAGGTCCTGCCTGTAACCCAACCCTACTAACCTGACTCTACTCTCTCGTCTGCAAAATGGAAGCCACGCAGCATCTCCCTGGCAGGACTATTGTGAAAAGCCGGTGAAAGCCTGGCATGTCACGGCATCAATGAGTGTTGGTTGCCGTCATCCCTGGCACCAAGTTGCCATGGACGGCAGTGGCCAGAGGCATCTGAGCTGACCTTGGAGAACGACGAGATCTCCTGATATGCAGGAAGGTCGGAGGTGGGGCTCAGCCATTCCCCTTCCCAGCTCTACCTGGCAGCAGGTGGGAGGCAGCAGGCGTGCGCTGGGCTCTGCTGTTCACACGGGGTGAAGCTGCTCCGCACTCGAAACACCCTCACGTGGTGGGGCAGTGAAAATTGGCAAACAAACCGCTTACCCTGTAAAAGGTGGGTCTCTTGGCTGCTCACAGTGGTTTATGTCTGAAGTCCCAGCTACTTAGGAGGCTGAGGCAGGAGGATTGTCTGAGCCCGGGAGTTAAGGCTGCGGTGAGTCGTGATCATGTCACTGAACTTCAACCTGAGCAACAGAGCAAGACCATGTTTCAAATAAATAAATACATACATACATACATACATACATACATACAAATAAACGGTGGGTCTCTGTAAAGAAAGTAATCAGCAGAGTATGGTGGCACACATCTGGAACTTCAGCTACTCCAGAGGCTGAGGCAGAAAAATCCCCTGAGTCCAGGAGGGCAAAGCCAGCCTGGGCAACAGAGTGAAATACTTCAAAACAAGATAAAATAAAATAATTAAAAAAAAAAAAAAAAAAAAAAGGCAGGCCAGATGCAGTGGCTCAGGCCTGTAATCCCAGCACTTTGGGAGGCTGAGGCAGGTAGATCACCTGAGATCAGGAGTTCGAGACCAGCCTGGCCAACTGGTGAAACCTCATCTTTACTAAAAATACAAAAGTTAGTTGGGCGTGGTGGCGCACACCTGTAATCCCAGTTACTCTGGAGGCTGAGGCAGGAGAATTGATTGAACCTGGGAGGTGGAGGTTGCAGTGAGCCGAGATCGCACCGCTGCACTCCAGCCTGGGTGACAGAGTGAGACTCCATCTCAAAAAAAGAATAAACAAATAAATGCAACCCAGGCGCGGTGGCTCACGCCTGTAATCCCAGCACTTCGGGAGGCCGAGGCAGGTGGATCACAAGGTCAGACCATCCTGGCTAACACAGTGAAACCCTGTCTCTACTAAAAAATACAAAACATTAGCTGGGTGTGGTGGCAGGTGCCTGTAGTCCCAGCTACTCAGGAGGCCGAGGCCGGAGAATGGCATGGACCCCGGAGGCGGAGCTTGCAGTGAGCTGAGATCACGCCACTGCACCCCAGCCTGGGTGACAGAGCGAGACTCTGTCTCAAAAAAAAAAAAAAAAAAAAAAAAGGCATTATTGAATAGATACATAAAATGTCTGTGGCTGGGCGTGGTGGCTCATGCCTGTAATCTCAGCATGTTGGGAGGCCAAGGCTGGCGAATCGTGAGGTCAAGAGATGGAGACCAGCCTGGCCAACATGGTAAAACCCTGTCTCTACTACAAATACAAAAATAATTAGCTGGGTGTGGTGGCACGTGCCTGTAATCCCAATTACTTGGAAGGTTGAGGCAGGAGAATCACTTGAACCTGGGAGGTGGAGGTTGCAGTGAGCTGAGATCGCGCCACTGCACTCCAGCCTGACAACAGAGCGAGACTCCACCTCAAAAAAAAAAAAAAGAAGACTATGTGCACAATGGAATACTATTCAGCCGTAAAAAGGAATGAAGCATTGATACATGCTACAGCATGGATGGACCTTGAAAGCTTTCTGCTAAGTGAAAGAAACCAGACACAAAAGGCCACATATTGCGAAATTCCATTTTACGAAGTGTCCAGAACAGGGAAATCTTTAAAGACAGAAAGTAAACCTAGTGGTTGGCTGGGGCTGGGGGATGGGGAATGGGGAGTGACTGCTAACAGGTGTGGGATTTCTCTCTGGGGTACTGAAAATGTCCTAAAATTGATTGTGGTGATGGTTGCACAACTCTGGGAATACATTAAAAAACCACGTACACTTTAATGGCTGAATTGTATAGTATGTGAATTATCTCTCAATAAAGCTATTATTAAAAATCATCGTTAGGCCAGGCACAGTGGCTCACGCCTGTAATCCCAACACTTTGGGAAGCCGAGGCAGGTAGATCACCTGAGGTCAGGAGTTCAAGACCAGCCTGACCAACGTGGAGAAACCCCTTCTCTACTAAAAATACAAAAATTAGCCCAGCATGGTGGTGGGTGCCTGTAATCCCACCTATTCAGGAGGCTGAGGCAGGAGAATCACTTGAACCCGGGAGATGGAGGTTGCAGTGAGCCAAGGCTGCTGCACTCCAGCCTGGGCTATAGAGCGAGACTCAGTCTCAAAAAAAAAAAAAAAAAAAAAAAAAATTGCAGCTTCAGCCAGGGTTGGTGGCTCAGGCCTATAATCCTAAGACTTTGGGAGGTCAAGGTGGGAGGATTGCTTAAGGCCAGCGATTCGAGGTTATGGTGAGCCATAATCGTGCCACTCCTGGGGCCTGGCCAGTAGAGCAAGTCTCCCACTCTTTTTTTTTTTTTTAATATGGTCTCGCTCTTACACCCAGGCTGGAGTGCAGTGGTGTGAACCCAGCTCACTGCAGCCTCGACCACTTGAGCTCAAGCAGTTCTCCTACTTCAGCCTCCCTATTGGCTAGGACTACAGGCATGTGCCACTGAACCCAGCTAATTTTTGTAGAGATGGGAGTCTGACTTTGTTGCCCAGGCTGGTCTAGAACTCCTGAGCTCAAGCAATCCTCCTGCCTCGGCCTCCCAAAGTGCTGGAATTACAGGCCTGAGCCACTGCACCCAGCCAGAGACTACAACTCTTAAAAACAAAAAAACAAAGCCACTTTGGCTGGGCACGGTGGCTCATGCCTTTAATCCCAGCACTTTGGGAGGCTGAGGTGGGTGGATCACCTGAGGTCAGGAGTTCGAGACCAGCCGGGCCAATATGGTGAAACCCTGTTTCTAATAAAAATACAAAAATTAGCCAGGTATGGTGACACGCGCCTGTAGTCCCAGCTACTTGGGAGGCCGAGGCAGGAGAATCGTTTGAACCCAGAAGGCGGAGGTTGCAGCGAGCCAAGATTGTGTCATTGCATTCCAGCCTGGGTGACAAAGCGAGACTCCATCTTAAAAAAAAAAAAAAAAAAAAGAAGTAACTTTATTGACCCACCCTAAAGATGGCCAGAAGTCCAGGAAGCCCCAAAAAGCATGGGGGATTCCTTATAGCAGCAGGTTCAGGGCTCCTTCCCTTGGCTCTTTCCTTACTGGCTCGGGAGTCTCAGCTGCTCTGACCATGCACAGCACTTCTCAGGACAAAGCCTGCCCCCCACCCCTGCCCAGGCCGGTTGGGAGCTGCTGGTTGGAGATGGGAAATTGTAAGAACTGCAGCCAGGAGGAAGCGCTGTCGGCAAAGGTGGCTGCTGCAGAGGTGAGGATAGGTTGTTCTCATTTTTACACTTAGGTTTTTCGTTTTGTTTTTTTTTCCAGGGGGCGGGGTTTGATCGCAGTGGTACAATCATGGCTCACTGCAGTGTCAACTTCCTGGGCTCAGGCCGGGTGCAGTGGTTCACGCTTGTAGTCCCAACACTTCGGTAGGTAGAGGCGGGAGTTTCACTTGAGGTCAGGAGTTCAAGATTAGCCTGGGCAACATGGTGAAACCCTCTCTCTACTAAAAAATTACAAATATTCACCAGGGGAGGTGGCACACGGCTGTAGTGTCAGCTACTGGAGAGGCTGAGGTAGAAGAATCACTTGAATCCCGGAGGCGGAGGTTGCAGTGAGCCGAGATCGCGCCACAGCATTCCAGAACGAGACTCCTTCTAAAAACAAAACAAAACAAACAAAACTTCCTGAGCTCAAGCGATCCTCCTGCCTCAGCCTCCTGAGTAGCTGGGACTACAGGCGTGTGCCACTAAATACATGTGTTAATTTTCCTTTTTTTTTCTTTCTTTTCTTTCTTTCTTTCTTTCTTTCTTTATTTATTTGAGACAGTTTCACTCTTGCTGCCCAGGCTGGAGTGCAACGCTGTGTTCTCGGCTCACTGCAACTTCCGCCTGGGTCCAAGTGATTCTCCTGCTTCAGCCTCCCGAGTAGCTGGGATCACAGGTGCCTGCCACCACGCCCAGCTAACTTTTCGTATTTTTAGTAGAGACGGCATTTCACTGGGTTAGCCAGGCTGGTCTCGATATCCTGACCTCGTGATCCATCTGCCTCAGACTCCCAAAGTGCTGGGATTACAGGTGTGAGCCACCGCGCCTGGCCTAATATTACTCAGCCTTTTTATTTATTTATTTATTTTTTGAGACAAAGCTTCGCTCTTGTCACCCAGGCGGGAGTGCAGTGGCGCAATCTCGGCTCACTGCAATCTCCGCCTCCCTGGTTCTAGTGATTCTCCTGCCTCGGCCTCCCAAGTAGGTGGGATTACAGGCACCCACCACCAAGGCCGGTTAGTTTTTTGTACTTTTTAGTAGAGACAGGTTTCACTATGTTGGCCAGGCTGGTCTTGAACTCCTGACCTCAGGTGATCTGCGTACCTCAGCCTCCCAAAGTGTTGGGATTACAGGTGTGAGCCACAGCGCCCAGCCTACAGCCGGCTAATTTTGTATTTTTAGTAGAGAAGGGGTTTCTCCATATTAGTCAAGCTGGTCTCGAACTCCCAACCTCAGGTGATCCGCCTGCCTCGGCCTCCCAAAGTGCTGAGATTACAGGTGTGAGCCACCATGCCCGGCCTACATGTGTTAACTTTCTTTTTCCTTTTTTTTTTTTTTTTTTTTGAGATGGAGTCTCGCTCTCTCACCCAGGCTGGAGCGCAGTGGCATGATCTCGGCTCACTGCAAGCTCCGCCTCCAGGGATCATGCCATTCTCCTGCCTCAGCCTCCCGAGTAGCTGGGACTACAGGCACCTGCCATCACGCCCAGCTAATTTTTTGTATTTTTTTAGTAGAGACAGGGTTTCGCTGAGTTAGCCAGGATGATCTTGATCTCCTGACCTCGTGATCCGCCCGCCTCGGCCTCCCAAAGTGCTGGGATTACTGGCTTGAGCCACCGCACCCGGCCTAACTTTCTTAATTTTTGTAGAGATAGGGTCTTCCTATGTTGCCCAGGGTGGTCTCAAACTCATGGGCTCAAGCGAACTTCCAGCCTCGGCTTCCCAAGGTGCTGGGATTACAGGTGTGAGCCACCACGCCCGGCCAAGTCTGCTTTTTAAGGGTGCGTGTGATTAGGTCAGAATCATTGATAATCTATCTCAAGATCAACCTCACCGTGTCATACATCCTAACCACAGAAGTGATATATTTGTAGGTTTTGCCCACACTCATTGAGAGAGGGTTACACCAGGGTGAAGGGTATTGGGGGTCACAGGAAAATTCTGCTGCCCTAGATGGTGGGTGTGAAGGGAGGATAGAGTAAGGGAGAATTTCCTGAGAACATACAGAGAATGGGAGATGGAACCCAGGCA